TGCTGAGCCTCAAAGAGAGCAGAATCAGGTGTCAATCCTGGATTTTTTTTTTTTCTTTTTGGTAGTATTATTGAGAGTTAACACTATTGCCATCCAACACAGCATTCAGGAGGGCTTAAATCTTTACATACAAACTAATGGGTGAAGGCCATTGATCTGTTAAAAGTAATGCATTTTTTATAGTCCTTGCAAGTTTCTGCTAGGTATTGCCAGCTATATCGAAGTTCATCATACTAGATGAAAACATATGTTTGATTGCATTTTGGATTTTGCATAAAAACAGCATCAGCTTTTCTGTTGAAACAGTTCTTCAGTAGTTTTAGGTGGTGATGGAGGTGAGCAATAAATACTTGTAAGCTTGATGGGTTTACTCCTAAACAACTCTTTAAGCAATATATTTAGGCTGTTTCACCTAGAATAGACACATATATTGTTCAAAGAAGAACAGTTATTTGGGTTCAGAGAGACATCCTGAATTTAATTTTTTCTTTGCTTTAAAGGCACACCAAAACAGCTGGAGGACAAAATGGTGCAGAAGCTACAAGAGGATGTGGCTATGGAAGAAGACTCTTAAAATGTTTTTATTTTCTATTTATATGTCTTCAGCAGTTAACAGTTCCTTACTGCCTCACCTGACATCATTCAGACTGTGCTTACAATTGAAGAAAAATATATTTTAATAAATAGTGGTCATTTACAGTTTGAATGATTTTTGGTTTTATAAAAAATAATAAGTTGGATACTGATTTGGCCAGTACTTACTATTATGTAATTTGAGAAGACCTTGTCATCAGGATGGAGAATAAGGCATGTTGTTTGAGATGCTGTGTGCTCCTTGGAAAGTTACACTTTCTTTCTGGGTAACTTTTCCCTGATAATTCAAGGAATAAAAGATGTTGGCCCTGAGCTTTTCTTATTTTGTCTGTTTTTCTTCATAGTGGTAAAAGCAGATAAAAATTTATCTTAATGGTTACAGGGTGGAGCAGGATGTATTATTTTTCATCAGTCCAGACTTATTTTTACTGTAGTCATTGGGAAAATTTTTTGGTTTGTTATAAATGCATATAGCGTTTGTTTTATTTCCTTTTTAAGTCAGCTTCCCCAGGATTACGATGAAGTTGACACCTAAGCCTGGCAAAGCTAACATTCATGTAGGACTTACTGTTGTTTGGAAAATAGTAATGGTGATGGCATCCAGCCTGAAGTTGGCTCTGCCATCCTCCTGACCTACCAAAATTCAAATCTGACATGTAATCAGGCTGATTGAGATGCTCAATAAATCACACTTTTGACTGTTTTTACCTAACACTTGGGAGTATTTTGATAGAAAAGACGATCGTGTTAAAGCGTAGGTATTTTGCATATTGTGGTATTCAGTGTGTCATCCGTACTGAGAGAAATACACTGCTTTTTTAAACTGTCAGCATTTTATCTACATCAGTGTGATCACAGAAGCCTTTCAAAGGCCTTTAAAATAGTATTTACTTTCTCATCAGTGCTAGTTATCCTGAAAAACAGTAATTTGTAGTTCTAGTCCAAACTTGAATATGTGCTATATCAAGCACTGGAAAACTTCCTCATGCCTACCACCTACATGTGTATTGTGTAGTTCAGAAGAGAGTCCTATTTGAACATGTGAGAAGGGGCACTGGGGAGTGTGTGAAATAAACAGGCACTGTACTTAGTTTATAATGTCTTGATTTATGAATTGTGTTTAGATATTTAGGAAACTTTGATCTATTTTAGTGAGTTTAAAATAACTGAATTCTAGTAATAAAAATACATAATCCCTTCATATTTTCATGAAATAAAAATTTTGCTATAATTTAAAATTTGCTGATAAGGTGATAGCTGATAAGTATTTTAGATGTACAATATTAGTATTTCCCCTGTAAACTGTAATATAAATAACATCTCAAAAGCATATGGTAAGTTGGCCTGAAAACACGTCAATAGGGTGAAATCACTAAGATGCTACAGTATAATCCTTGGACATAGTGAAGGGGAGACCTTCACAGAATGTTAATTAGTATGTTTATGTGTGACTATACAAGTTAACTCAGTATTTCAGCTTGGGAAATGTGTTTTTTGTGTGGCCTGTTTTACCATAGTATTTGATGTCATTAATCCTTGAAGTGGGATACTTTATCTAAAAATGTTATTACAGATTTTTTTTTTTACTGACTTTTAAAGATATGATGTTCAGTGAGTGCCAAGTTTTAATTTTCTCCAAAAATAGTAAAGCAAATCTGTGCAAAGCAGAGAAAGGTGATGAATCCCATTGGATGTTAGTAGTATTTGTATACAATCTTTTACTTCATATGAGTTTTTAGCATTAAATAATTTATATTACATAATATCTGTAGTTTTTCTGTCCACATACCTTTAAATGAACTGCAATACTTGTTTGTGTGCTCTATGAAAGTGTCTCTATGGGATTGTTAACCCTTTCCTATGAAGGTCTGTAAGTGAAGCAGTCATTGTGCAGCAGCTGAGAAGAGCTATTTGGGGAGTACACCACAACCATAAATCCTAAACGTCGTGCCAGTTGTATGAGTTGCTTAACCTGTGTACCTCGTTACAGCCTGTGTAATGGCGTAATTGCAAGCAAGGGCTTCGAAAGTTAATACTGAAGTTGTCCATCATTGTGCAGGTGTGCTGTTTCCCTGAGAAGCAGAGACTTGTCGCCTGCTGTGTATACCTTGTGAGTACATAGGATGTAGTTGAGTTTAGAAATCTGTCATGAGTAACATGCTTACAGCACGTGGTCTGAAGGTGCCCTTATGATTTTTTTTTTTTAAATTTTTATTTAATTGCTATGGTGTCCTGTTCTCTTGTCTGTGTCAGCTAAAGCAGGATGCTGCTGAGACAGCACATGGTGAGGGGTGAACAACTGCAGCTGAAGAACAGCATGGGGCTGCACATCTCTGCATAACCCACTGCATGCACAGACGCAGCCAAGGCACTGCTGAGCTGCGGAGGAGTGGTGTTTTTTCTTTCTTTTAGGGGGCTGGCTGTCAAACCACATTTCTAATAGGAACTGTTCCTATTCAAATATATTTTGGTGAAGAGCTGTTATTATCTTTACTTGCTTAGGATGAAAATTTTCAACTAAGCCAAAGCTGACTCAAAATTCCTTTAGATTTTGGATTTTGTTTACAAGACTTGGAGACAAAATATCCAACTGAGCAGTATTCCGGTGGTCATGGAGAAATACTGCTAAATGCCAGGAAGTAACCGCATTCCGCTCCCCACTTGAACAGCTCTAGCTCAGACGCTGCGTACGGAGGAGTGTGGTGATGTGCAAACCGGGAGCCATCGGCCTCCTGCCTGTGGGGCTGAGCAGTGCCCAGTCCTTTGGGGAGGTAGGACCTGCCATCAGTTCCCCCAATAGCGAGTTGGAGAGACGGTATTTCATGAGCAGCACATCGTTATTCATTAGAGATCTCTATTTTAGTGTCATACGTCCAAATCACTGATCCTGTCTGTGTTGAGATCTAGTAGGAATGGAGCACAAGGTGCTGTGAGTAGTCTGTTGCAAGACAGATGATAGAGTGTGCATTTGATTCAATATTTAGTCAGAAAAATAATTTATTTATGAATAACTGGTAGTGCTTAATTCCAGTATACAGTCTGTCTTGCTTGGCATTTACTAGATCCAACAAACTTGCCATTTTGTGTTTGTACTTGATGCCATTGGGAGCCTTTATTCAAAACAAAGTATGATGGGCTTGATCAGAACAAATGTGATACTCTGTTTTTAAGAAATGCTTTTTAGTTTCAGTTGTCGTCATCTTTTCTTACAAAACAAAAACAGATGTATGTTTTTCTTTTTTTACAGACTGACTGTGCCAAAGGGGAAATGTGGATTTTAATAGTGATTTATGAAGTGACTTTTTCTCATATTTCCCCTTTTCCTTTTTAATCCATCACTTTAATGATTTCAAGTTAAATGCTGGCTTTGTTTTCAGAAGGTTAACCTCATGCTAACACGTTCTGGCTACTGCCTCACCTCCTCATGCTGCAGAGCCCTGAGCAGGCCTGCGGCCCCTGTGGGGTTTACAGCACTGCCCTGAGACCCTGGAGATGCCTTTTAGATCTTTTATCAGGTTTCATTCTTTTTCAATATGTGATTATCATCATAACTATCCGAAACACCACTGCTCAGGGGTGCTGTGTGGGGAACCATTTCTGTCACGCCTGTGAAGCCTGTGGCCCACGCTCGATGACGCCATCTTAGAAATAACATTTGCTTTAGGTTTCGTGGGATGCTAAGTTAGTAAGGGAGGGAAAGAAGTATTTATTTCCGCGTATCGAGCTGTGAATCAAACGCACATCTATTGCCAAAGGTGGAGGAGCAGCAATGCAGTGGCAGCACCAAGCGAGCTGCCGGGTGGGCGGGGTGGGGCAGGTTCCTCAGGTAAAAAAGCCCCCGAGGCTGCCCTGAAACAGCCGCTGTGCCCCACGGGGAGCTCAGGTGTCCTCCACAGGCCTGCGCTTTTGCTGAGGTAATTTCTCTGTTTTCATATGAAGTAAGACCTGGAGATACTTATTTTGACCTTTAGTCATGGGTTGGTTTTCCAGTCAATCACTTGTTGCTTTGGTTGTCTGTGGAGTCTCTTGTTTTCTTGTGAAATTTTGATCCTGAGAGAACAACTGAAAAAATGAAGTGGTGGGTGCTGGTGGGGATTTTTTGTTTTGCTATTTTGTTTTGTTTTTAAGAAAAAAAGCAAAAATATTCTCAGGCTTCCGTTTCAGTCTTTCCTTTGCAAATGCTGACAAATACAGTGTGGAAAAAGTGAAGATTACTGCTTTCTGTGTAATCAAATTGTGCTGAACTGGTGCAGATTTTCTTCACAGGAAATCGTGCCTTTCCATATTTTCGAAAGATCTGACATTTTAGTACTTGGCAAGAGAAGAATCTTTGAGTTTCGGTGGATAACGGTAATTTTGCAAACTAGCTGAGAAACAAAAGGTGTTAGATACAGTAAACACATCTTGGAAATAAGACTTTTTTTTTTTTTTTTTCCCTGTAACTGTACTATAAAAGCTTACAGCTTAAAAGCTTTGTTCAACTTTTTTTTTCCCCCCCTAACCTCCTAAATATTAGGTTTGGTTGGATGTCTTTAAATATTGAAAAACAGTTCCTGAGAGGAAATTGATGGTGACTGCAAACTTTTAGTTTGCAGCAAAATGTTGGCATGTGTTGTAATGTATGTAGCTAACTGGCTTGAGATATTCTTACTCTTAGAGTAACAGCGTGATGGAGCTCAGAACACGTATGAGATCTGTCCTTTTGCTGCACAAAGAAACATAAATCAGCTCAATATGTTGACATGGTTATATGTGTCAATGGCTGGAAAAGCAATATAGACAGCTGCTAATAGGTCCGAGGGCTTACATCCCAGGAGACTATATTTCAACCTCCAGGCTGTTCAATTCCTCAATTACTGTTCTGGCCTCAAAAATTCAATCTCCTTCACCAGGCTAACTTATTTATGGGTCGCACTGAACTGCGACCAGGGAGAGCAGAAAGCCAAAATAAATCAACCACTGATAAAATTGTTTAAGTCTGCTTGTTGTCTGTCTGTCTATTTTTAGATCTCAATTTAAAAAGGCCTTATGCAGAGAAATTACTAGGATTTTTTTTTTTTTTATTGGTATCAGTAATAATTAGTCTTTGGTGGTGTTTGCTAAATACAACAAAGTGTGGGGTTTTTTTTTGTCTTGTTTTTTCTAACTGTGACCTAATCAACCTGATTATAGCCATAGTGTTTTGAACAAGCAGCATTATTTGAGACCGGGTAGGAACAGAGGGAGAAATAAGGATTTGTGGAGATAGCTGAGTTGGAAGATACTTTTTGCTGGGTTTGATTGTTTGGTAACAAAACAACTCCTCTCTTTAC